CTGAGAGAGATCCCACTACATATAATGTACAACTATCAGCATGTAGTTTTCACCTTTTCACCAAATGCTAAATATATGCTACTGTAAGGACACCTTTACAGTGAGGAAGTTCTCTCCATGGTTCTAATCTCAAAAGGTTTATCAACCCAAAGCTTTACATTACTGAAGCCTGCATTTATAAAAATAATTTTACGAAAGCATCCAGAAGGAATCTCTAAACATACAGACTAAGTTGCAAAGAAGAGAAAACATTTAGTGTATATAGTACATACCTACTTCAAAGAGTACAATTACTGACATGCAATCCCAATATGATCATGCATCCATTTCTCTCACTTTTCTTGGCATCATTCTCATGATAATCATTGCAAGCCCAGATGAAAGTTTAAATACAGATGGGCAATTAGGAGGCCATTAAAGCTAAAATATATGTTAACCTATATCCCAGGGATGAATTTTGTAGTGTGGATGTTATAGCATCTCATGAATCCTGCTAGCTGGACAAAAAAGGGAACCTCTCAACTTACTGAGTTTTCTTCCAAAGTAGTTTTAGAATAAAGATTTGCTGGTGTTCAAATGACTGGGGTGTTGGTAATTTTCGTAACTGTAATATATATAACATACAAAATGAAAATAGAGAAATTTAACTCCTACAGCATTACAACAGCATTTCTTAAGACAATGAGTTTTGCACAATCCTGTATGAAATATCATTGAAATGCACATCTTATCATTGTAGTAGAAATAACCTTCTAAATAAAGATTCCTTTAAAAACATCTTTACTCTTGAAATCATAGTCACTTCTATCATACATAAATAAAAAAAAGATGTGCAAAACAAAAGTTAGATCACATCTCTATGCTGTCAAATGGTGGTTAGTATGGGGGCATCTATCTATCCAGCACCCTTTGAACACTTTATGAGAAAGCCTCTTTATAAGCGAAGTTATGGTGTAAAAAATAAATGTGAATCAAATTTCATTTTCATCTACAATTCTATCCCACTACTTCAAATTCCTCTAAAGACACCCATGCCCATACAAGCATTACATCTACATATGGGGTGTGCTTCATAACTGATGGCAAAACAATATATTAGCAAATGAAGAAAGAATAAGAAAAGAAATATATATATAAATCATGAAAAAATAATAATAATAATTAAAAATGTTTACTTTTAAAGATACTCCCTCATACATAATACAACTCACCTCATCCCCAAGTTCATTGTTTCTGAAGTTCCAATCATGGTAATGGCCAACAGCATATTGTTACAGATCTTGGCAGCCTGACCATTTCCTACTCCTCCACAATAGACAATATTTTTCCCCATGCATTCCAACAATGCTTTAGCTGCTTCAAACTCCTTTTCATCTCCACCAACCATGAAAGTCAAAGTTGCTCCTTTAGCTGCATTTACACCTGAGAGAATCAGTTTGCATTAGTTCAGCAAAATCATAAAGCCACTTTTGTAAAAGAAAAGAAAAGAAAAGAAAAGAAAGAAAGAAAAAAGGAGAAAAAAGGCATACACAAACTCTAATGTTACCAAAAATTAGTCAAGGTATTCTCTATTACCAAGGTGGACTGTCTGGATGGGCATGGATTGCCAGAGTCAAAGGTGAGTTAAGGGCCCCCAAAATTTACTTTGCTGGGTTGCAACTACCTTTTCCAAAATTTTCACTCATTTTTGTAGATGTGATCATTCTACAGATTCTATACCACTGTTGCAATGTTACCCAGTGCTATTATTTAGAATATGCCCAACCTATCTCTTTATACCAAATATTAATGGATTAGAATAGTCTAATAAAAAAAATATGAGGAAAACCCATATAAATTGGTAGGGAATTAAAATATTAGAGCCTTTATGCACTTGAAATACGACTTGCATGTGAGTTCCTGGCGACATTTGTTAGCCTGTACATCTGCTACAGAATTTAAAAAGTAACAAGGACAGAAAAGAATTAATACAAATAAAACATTAAAAAATTTGCTCCGTCTCCAACTAAGAGGTATTAGCTAACCCTCATCCTCCATCATTTGATTGATTCTATCAAAAATATTGTTCTTATAATGAATTAGTGGTCAGTTTTAGTCGTACTGCATACTAATGGATCATTCAAAATGCATTAAAACTAGTATATATTGAAAATTATACAATAGGACACAAATGGTAACTGGGGAACTGTGGTTTTCTTTTTGTACTTTCTGTATCTTATATGACAACCGAACCATCCATCAGACAGCAACAAGTTACACTATATACTGCACTTTTTCAGATTTCTTTTATTATAGATGAAAACAAAAATAACAAAGAAATCACCAAACTTCAATTTGCCTATTCTTGGAATTCTTACTTTTTTGAAGCAAGGCATGCAAATTACTCCAACACCAACGATTTCAGAGCTCTATCTTTTGCTGGTAAGACTTCAAATGCAACCAAACTGCCATTTTCTAATTTTCTTATTTTGTATAAATAAGAGAAAAGTAAAGAAAATTTTTTTTTGCCTTTTTTGTGGAAAATGGTACTTTACTTGAAAACCCTGTATTAAATTGCAAAATCAGTCTGGTGGCAAAGACTACTAGTTTTTATATTATTTTCATGTCTTTTTGAGCAATAGTACATGAGTTATTCTTCACTCAATGCACTACAAAAAATGATACAAATTTTCAGCTTACAGAATGAGAGAGTAATTACTCCCCAGGGGATAACTTTTAAAAGTATAACTCAAAAGGATGCATGTATGGTCTATAATTGGTAAATACTATGACTTTTTGGCAGATGGTCCTATTAAGCCTTATAACAACATTTATCTACTTATCAATGAAAATGTCTTTCGCTACACAGTATAAAACTCCTGATTTTACAAACCTCCAGAAACTGGGGAATCCATAAACACTGCTCCTTTCTTTGCTGCAAGAGCAGCCATTTCTTTGGACACACTTGGATCAATGGTGCTACTGTCCAGGATGAGTGTTCCAGGTTGGATTGCTCTATTGGGAAATGAAAGTGAAATTTTGTTAAACTTAAATAAATATCACTTTTAACCCATTCCTGACGGGCATGCTATGCCATGCCCACTGTGAGTCTACTTGTTTGATTGTTTTTACTCATAGATGGCTACAATTGTACTAAACCACCAATGAGCCAATTACGAGTATTGCCTACCTCTCCCGTTCACCCTTTTCTTTAAATTTTCGAAAATATTTTAGGTTATCTTATTTTACTATTACTAATGTTTATAACATTATAGTAATTATAATGTTTATAATAAAAATAACACCATCGATATTCATAGCACTAGTAAAAAACACATTTTCCCGTCAATTCAAGGAAAGGTGAAATCAAGTAAGGCAGAGCCATCTATGTGTAGACATTTCACAAAAAAATATAAAAAATGACCACAGCATTTTCCCCATTTTTGATCAATTTTTCCCTGGCAGCAATGGGTTAAAACTGAAAAATGTTATAAATTGTAGTACTTACCAAACTTTTTACCTGATCTAGCAGATATAAACAAGCTCTTACCATGATCAGAAAAGCTGAGGGCTTATATTTGTAACATATGTGGAAAAGCTATTTACATCATCAAAGATTGTTTGCTTTACAAAACTTATTAGAAATGTGTTTTACAATACTTCTTAATTTGGTAGCCTATATGAGTTGGGATAACTAACAACCATGCAAACGTTGTAATTAACCTAATATGCAATATCTGGAAAAGTGGAAAAGCACAAAGAACTCAGCATTAAAAAAATTAACAATCTAATGTAATGAGGTAAAAGATACAAAATCCCTGCAAACTCACTCAAAGACTCCCTTTTCACCAGTATAACAATTGCGCACGTGTTGGGAGTTGGGAAGCATGCTGATTATACTGTCTGCTTTGCCTGCTACTTCTGCCGGACTGTTGGCAATTAGCGCTCCTGCATCCTCTAGAGCTTCCATGGATTCAGTGTTAATATCAAAGGCAACAACACTATGTCCCTGAAACAATGATAAACAAAGATATAAATGTGTGAGAATAGAATTACAACCGATAAATTAAATCATAAAATTTATTATCGTAGAGTTAATGAACTAGCTCATCTCTACCTCTTTATTGTCTCATCATCTCACTTCTCTTTCCCTTCCTCCCTTGACTCATATAATTTTCTTTTTCTCCTTCTCTGTCCCCTTTTAATAATCTTGAATAAGCTATTGTCTTCATTATATGAAATAATATACTATTAAATCTGAAAAGAAGGAATACAGCTACTTCCATTGGCTAGACAAATTGCAGTGTATATACATGTGCTTTATTTAATTTAAAAAATATATATATATATCTAGATTAGATTCCTGCTCATCTGGGTTGTGTTTATCTGGCTTTGTTAAGGTATCCTATATTGAGATCATTTATCATAATTCACTAATCAATACTCAATTTCTTCACCTCTGCAAGTTGTGGCAAAGTTGAGCCTAGGTAATTCAAAGAATCACATAACTATTACCCAAAAATAGCTCAGTCCATTTATCCCTACTTCTCTCCTATTCATATTATCTTAACTGTCCTGGTTTTCTTCATTTAGACTGCATTTATGTTGTTTATAAAGAGCATGTTCCTTGAAAAGTTGCCCTTTGTCATATCAGCATCTATGCAACTATCTGCTACTTGTTACCCCAGCATTCAAAGTCAAAGTCAAAATTTGTCACATATGCAAGTGGACTTTAGGAATATGCATACTAAGCTGTAAGGTGATGCAGTAGGGTAGCCAGTTCCCTTCCACCCTGACTTTGAAACATTACTTGCTTACAGCTTAGTCAATTGAGATGGGATGATTGGGTGTGAACCTAGGATCCTAGGATCTCCTCTGTACTGGTATCTTTCTGGGTCAAGTTACTTGGTACAACAATTTAATTTCCTATTTCTACAAATGTGGTGCTAAACTTATGTTATCCATCTAAAGAAGAAAAACAACTTTCTCAGCTATTGGCACTAATGTATTCACTATAAATATATCTACACAACCAATGTCCAAGGATGCTCATTTAAGTCTTTTATACTGATATCTTTCTTGGTTGAGTTATACCCTCCCCAACTACTGGCATACACATATTAACTATAATATATATGTGGATTACCCCTTAGGTCATAGGATACTCATTCAAGTGTATTTGCATTTTCCATGACTTTTCCATGAAGAATAAGCCTCTCAGAAACTGGTAGGGTCATTTTTGCTGTGAATGAGGGGTAGGGAGTGTTTAGCAAGTTTCTTTAAGCTGCATCATACTAATACTACCCACTGTAATACAAATGCCTTATATTGTTTATTTTGGCAGGTAAATCAAAATATCAGATGTAAACAAGAATTCTTGTAATGTATGTCATTTACAACCCCACCCTTACTTCCACTTCCCATATTTATCAATTGAATGTTTTCAGCAGCATCAACATCTAAGGTCATTAGTGGAATATTCAAAATATAGTGATAGGGTGGGGCTTGGGGGTAATGCCTTCAAATACGATTCCCCCCCCCCCCTCAATAAGAATGGTCAATGGCCAGTACAAACAAGTGTACCAGACATTAAAGGTCACACTGCATTATGATAAAGTACTGTGGAAAAAAGGTAAATATGAGTTAAAGATTTGGATAAGTGGACATAAGAAGGGGATGAAGAAGAGAACTAAAAGGAAAGAGGGAGACCGAGCAAAATTAGTTGAGGTAAGGGGTGAGGTTCAAGGGAGGGGTGATCCCCAACAATGCGCCTCGGTCCCCGTCTCCGACAGCAAGGACCGTGGGATTGGAGGGTCCTATACCCTTTGTACCGCTGAAGCAATTACACATGCACCTCCTAGCATTGTCCCATCTCTTTCTTCAGGAAAGTTACCAAATCCATTTTCTTTAAATTTTTTGGTTATGATCTGACTCACCTTTTTAATCAAATTGGTTGCCATTGGTCCACCCATGTTCCCAAGGCCAATAAATCCCACTCTGGCATCTGGAGCCAAGTGCTGTGAAGTGACTGCAGAGAGATGTAATATATATGAAGAAATAATTCTAAACAAAAAAGAAAAAGAAAAAAATCAAAATCAGTATAACATATGAAGATGGCAATAACATGAAGACACCAATAACAAGCAATGACACCAAAGTATCTACATTATTGGGCTGGGAAGAATCAGTTCCTGCAATACTGAGAGAACTACATCTGAATTTGTTTTTTAATTTAGAAATGATTCCCCTAATGGTGTAGTTTCAGTTTCACAAAGCAATATAATACAAGGTAAATTTTGCCTGTAATGGTCAGAATGACTAAAGATGAGACACTTATTTATCATATTTCCTTTGCAAGTTGATAAGATAAAAATTGAGCGACATGTATACTGGTATACATTTATATTATGATTGCATGAAGAGAGGGAAGATCTAGGGAAAATATAGTATATATATTCACTGACAGACTACATGAAATAATCTGCACTAGCAAAGAACAATGTCAAAAATGAAGAAAGAAAGAAAAAAAAATCCAACAAATGCCAAACAGGGACTACCCAGGGTTCTAGGGGCCTGGTAGGGAAATTACATTGCTAGGATGGGGGTCTGGGGGCAATGCCCTTGGGTTAGGAAGTGCTTTGGTTCATATGGCAATGGCTGCAGATTGTCAGGAGCAATTACCAATACCTGCATAAATAACATTTGAGAAGGAATGAAAAAGAATCATGCATATTATATCCTGAAGAAATGAAGCAAGAAATAATAAAAACATTTGAGCCCATAATAATTTCTACTTGCAGTCAACTGCGGTAGGAGAGAAAAGAGCTTCTAATTGTGCTGCCTCTGATGTGCTCCATCATAAAGCCTCATTTACTTAATTTAGGAATTGGTTCTAGCAAATCTAATACTGCTGAGAATCATAGCGGTTGATCGTATTTTCATCAATTCTTTCTTAACTTTATTAAACTGAAATTTCTTTGGAAGTTATGCTTACTGAAGTGGAGGTTTGCTGGCTTTTAACAGAGCACCGGCCATCCATTACAGATCGTCGCAGTTTTCAAATGGATCTGGACAGAAGACTGGCCAAATAAGAGGCACTGAGGGTGACTAAATACACAATTCGTGTAAATGGAATTTTGTGAAGTCTAGTTTTAGTATACAATTAGTAAGGAACAGATTTAATTTAATTCAGTATTTGGGCACACATAGGCTAGACCAGATAAGAAAATCAAGGTTATTTTTTCATCACCGGTTACTGCCACCCTGAACTTCTGAAATTAAAATACCTAGGGTACAATTTACGTAAAAGTTCAAAACTATTAATACCAAACGGGTATCGCTGATCTCATTATCTGACATCAAAATACGATTACCTGAGAAATTCCGGACACTACTAAAACCCAAAACACCCGTCGGGTTTTTAAACAATCGCAAAAAGTGAGACCTCGAGTACGCCATCGTTTCAGGCTGGCAGCAGACAGAGTAGCAACAGCCAAGGTACGGAGCGATCACAAGCGCCTC